ACAGAAGTGTGGAAAGGCATCAGGTGGGAGCAGAGCTGGGGTGGGCTCTGCCCACGTGGCACCTGTTGCCACATGGGAAAGGAGAGAGGAATCAATTTTCCACATAGCCCTATTGATCTCTGATGAGTTACCACCCACTGAAGATTCAGCTCTGCCTCAGGCTTCTCTACCTCTGAAGGGCAACCAGTTTTATATGACCTCCAAGTTGGCTCCAGGCAGCTGCAAGCCACACGGGTGACAGGCTGGTAATGGGCACCAGCCCTCCCAAAAGTTGCCTGCCTTCTGCAGCCAAATGCTGGCTAGAGCTTATTAACACCCCAGGCCACCCTGTTCCTCTCAGTCCCTTTGGCTCTTCCTCTCCTCCAAAACCCAGCCACTGCCCATCACCTCAGTCCCTGGAAAAGTACTTCCTGATCAATGTCCCCCACTGAGACAGCCATTCAGAGGCATGGTCCCCCAACTGTGGGGACTCTGGTCCTCTAGCTGTTTTGGATGAACAAGGTCAGTCTCTACAGCTGAACAGGATTAACAATTCACCACACCTTGAAGGCTTTGAGAAAGTTAAAGTTTCCAAAACCCAGGCTTTGTTCCATAACAGGTAGCTTACAGTCTCTTGGAGCTGACCGCAAACTGGGACTTTTTAACCCCTCTAGGGATTCCAGGAAGTATCCAACGCCACTTAGAGACCTCTGGGGTCAGCCACAAACATTTTATCATTTGGGCCTTGTGCCCACCAGGGAAGATCTGGATAGATTTTACATGGTTCCGAGAGGAGAAAGCTGAGGCTAAGAGAAGGAGCCACTAACAGGGCTGCAACTCAGTGGCACTCTGCCTTCCGGGTGTGGGGTCTGCCTGCCGTCCCATGCTCTGTGATCCCTGCAAACCACAGGGGATGGGGGGGTGGTCTTCAGCCAGTCGGAACAGCCAGCATGGTGCTGGGCACTTAGGTCTCTGGGAATGGTCGCTAAACACACAGAAGTGTTTCCTGTTGCTGTGGCCACTCTATCCTCTTCCTTGCTGGGCCTGGTGAGGTCTTGCCAGCTCTCCAGCAGAGCTTCCGTGTCATTGGTGGTTGGAAGGAGGGGGCCTGGGACACCACCACTGCAAATGGTTGAGCCCATCAACCTCTGAAGCCGGTCCCCTCATTCAGGTACCCTGAATTAGTCATTACTGACAGCCTTCAGCTTATGTGGACGAATAACCAGTTTACCCGAGGTTGCCCTGGCAGACCTACTTCAAAACCCAGACAAGATCATCAGTTTCCCTAACTCTTCCCCAGCTGGGTGACACATTTTACCTCAGAAGGCTCACCTGAGCCTCTCCCCTTATTACGTTACCCACTGCGGTTGTTGAGGGCCTATGAGCGGATCTCTCTCAGAATAGGCGGCCTTGCGTATTTTTTCTTTCTCTGGATGTGGCCACAGCAGCTTCACTATACCACTTCACCCATTTCTAAAACTGTTACCTATAAGGGCTGGGCTCAAGCACCTCCCATGGGCCACTGGGCAGCTTGTGACTCTGTGACCACCTACTATGTGCAGGTGACCTCCCTGCAAGTGAGGAACCGCCACCGTTCTCCGGATAGCAGAGCTGAAGGCACTGGATGGGGACAGGCTTCTTGGCAGTGACGTGGAGCTGTGGGTGTCTGTGACACTGTGAATGCAAAAGTGCAGTTATACAGAACACGATGTGTCCTGAGGCCAAACAGGCAGGAAGCATGGAGCCAGGGGTGAGGTGGGAGGAGACCTGGGAGGTGGACTAGAACAGGGAAGGGCTGGCCTGACACCCAAGGGACTGGCATCAGAGGAACACCATTGGCCAAGGATCTGGCTCTTCCCCAAACCAGATATTTACAGCTGAAGTGAGGTCCATGGGGACCACCTAGTCTCAGAGTGATGTTCCCGTCTACTGTAGGCCACACCTGTACATGAGAATCACCTGGGCAATGTATTATAAGGTCCAGTTTGCCTCCCCACCTATTAATCAGGAGTCAAAGTAAAATGCTTTCAAAGTCCGTAGGGCATCCTGATGTAGCACCAACCACAAGCATGAGATGGGGCGGGGGCACTGTCAGAGGTTCTGTGGTGGAAACCTACCAGCTACACTCAAGTTGGTAAGCCCTGCCAGATCCAGCACTCCCTTCCTGTCCCATCTCCTCTTCTCATGTGAAAGGACAGAGGAATGGCCACACTTTGGGGAAATGTTTTGCAGGCCAATTTGTAGCATGGCTGTGTGCAGCCTGGAGTCACATCTCTGCAGAGAAATTCGAACCTAAAAAGAATGCAAGCAATCACTTTAAGCACCAAACAAGGGCCTCCAGGCAGACCAGCCATAGGTAGGACGCCATCACCCCCTAGTGGCCAAGTGTGAGCAACAGCCCCATCTTGCTCTTGGATTCACTCCTGCAAACTGTTTTAGAGACCTTGCCATGGAAAACCTGGTCTGCAACAAATGCCTGATAGCTTCTCACTAAGGGATAAAAGGCCACCTTGGTCCCCACGCCCCAGTGGAGCTTCTTCAGGGGCGTGCAAGAGGCAGGTTGGTGCAGAGCTGAGGCTATGTCTAGCCACACACAGCCAGCAACTCTGGAAAGTCCCTAAGGCTCAGCCCCTTGTCTATACAGCAGCTACAACATAGGACCTAACTCAAGAGGGTTGGGAAGACTGATGGCCAGAGGAAGAGTTTGCCTCACCTTTCACTAAAGGCTATGGAAAACTGGCAGTACAAAGGGTCTGGCCTGAACACAGGTGACACCTCCACCCCACTTAGCCAGTAACAGTTAACGAATGCTCTTCTGCTGTTGCTCCGAGTTACAGGAGGGACTCCAGTGTCCATAGGACACTGACTTGGATTCCAGTCTTCTTCTGTATTGCCATTCTGTCGATTTGTTTGTGGCCCTCACTTTCAGCATTTAGTCCTTTCCTTATTTCTGACCATTTCCCCTCTGCAGTGCCGGGGATGGAACCCCAGGCCCTGTGGATGCTAGGCCAGAGTGACAGCCCCAGCTCCTGTTTGCTCAGATTCTTCAACACTTCTGGAATAAGGCAGACTATACAGACTTCATTTGAGACTTGGCAGGTCAGGTCTGCTCGTCATATACATGCTGAGCCAGTTCCAGATGATGCCTGATGCTGTTATCTTTAAGACAAACGCTTTCTGTCCATGACTCATGAGTTTCAAAATACATGTATCAGAAACTTAAAAACCATCCTAATTCAGAGGGTCTGGTGGACCCCAAGAACCTCTACTTTTAAGTTTCTCAGCTGCATCTAAGGCAGCCACCCAGCTGTGGCTCTGGAAAGGCATGCACGAGTGCGTCTGATCTGGAAACAGAAAGAGGCAGTCATAGCAAAAAATGTCAAATGCCTTCACAAAACCATTTCTCCAATAAAATGAATCCCAACTTTATTCGGCTGACACGCTTTCAAAACAAGGGGCATAAATCTAAATGTACTACTCAAACTTATTTAAATTCAACAGGGCAAGTTGGCTTCAGAGAAAAACCCACCAGTGAAGCTTTCTGTAAAAACTACTTACTCGGTTCTTGAGTTTGGCTTTTCTTAAAGTGACAACTGGAATATATGATCACTTAATATGGTTTTAGTTCCTCCTGGCATCCCACCTGCTTCAAATCACGCCAGGCACACTTAAATGGCTGCTGAGCTCTGCTAAGAATGCACTCCCACCTTCACTAGAGGGCGCTCCCTCCCTGGCCTGGGCTCTTTTCCTCCACTGACTGAGCCAGCTGCCCTGCTGGGGTCAAGGCATGCTCACCAGGCATGGGACAGGAATGTGAGGGAGGGCAGTCAGGTGATTGCCTGCTGGGTACCCACTGGTCCCAAGCAGTGAAGAGCCCCACTCAAGTTTATTTTGGCCGTGAAGGTATGACAAGTCCATCAAAGCCAAGGCTCACTATATAAGGTGTGGAAACACCTACACACACACACACACACACACACACACACACACACACACACACGAGCGCGCACACTCTCTGTCCTAACAGCCAGTGAAAGGCAGGAGCTTTCAACCAAAGTTGGGAGTCCAAATAGCTGTGCTGTGGTTTGCACATCTTCCTTGAAAGCAGGATGTCTGGTGGGATCCTCAGATGCCCAGGGCGCAGGACAGTCAAATCTGTGTAACCAAAACTCCACTTTCTGGCCAGTCAAGGGTTTGTGCTGGGTGTGAAGAAAATCTCAAGCTGTCTCTCAACATGAAATCTAGGTCTGAAGAGGTTGTAAACCAGCTCTCCCTGCTACTGCCCATTGTTTTCACTCTGCAGGACTACCAATCCTTCCCCAAGGGTTGAAGATTCCTCCTTCCTGACCATCTAGGACCCATTTGGCCTAGAGGAGCAGGAGCAGAGGATAGTGGATACTGCATCTGACCACAAGTAGGAAACTAGAACCCAGGAAATTCATGCTAAAAATCTCCAACAGTAGAGTTTATCAAAAGGGGCATTGTTCACATACGTACCCAAGAGACCAATACTGCTGCTAGTCAACAGGAGAGTATGGGAGGTGGGAAGTTACATGGACTGTGAGGAGGAAAATAGGACAGAAGACTAAAGCAGCAAAGGCAGGAAGTAGATGGGGCAAGACAATCAAAGTTAGGATGATTACGGACCAGGTTTCCAGTTCTGGGGAATTCTGGGGAATTCTCCTTTAGTCCCAGGCAAGAGCTCCTAAGCTTAGAGTTTGGTAGGATAGGCAGGGGCTGTGACTGATGAACAAAAAAGCTCCCCAGATCTTTCTGGTACTCTCAGAGATTAATCACATTAAATGTGTTTCAAGGCAGACTAATTCTCTAACAAATTCTACAATACATGAGGTATGCAGTCTTCATCACAGCTGAGGAAAAGGAACAGATACCTGGTCCCTGAAACATTCTTACGAAGACATACTTGCCAAGAGAGCTCCAGGGTGGCCTAACAGGGCTGGGGAAATGGAGATTTGCTAATATAGTTCAAGGAACAGAAACTCAAAGAATTCATAGTGGTAGGACTAAAGATGAGACTGTAACTGACAAATTGCTCTTTGCTATTACTACTTTCAGAGGAACAAAGGGCCATGGAAGCCTGGGCAGAGGTGCCAAGCTGCAGGTTCTGAACTGTAAGAGTCAAGTACTCTATTAACTGGAAAAAACACTGGTGACTCAGGTCTTCAATCTCCAGACTGAACACTCCCAGGGAATACCACTGCATCACTTCAGGAAAGACAAACACCCAGCAACCACAGCATGGAAATGCCTACTTGTTAACAGCAATACTTATGTCGCTGCTTCCAGGGATGGATGTTGAGTGTTAGCAGTTAGTCATTTTGGGGGGGTAGGAGGGGAGAGTGGGAGGTGGGGGTGGAAGGGGCGGTGGCAAAAGCAAAGGGATGAGAACTGATCTATCCCAGAAGGTGTTCCGGTTCACTCATCAGGAACCACAAAGGCTGGACAAAGTGTGAACAATGTGGACAGTCTTGTGTGCAAGGTTCATGATGGAAGCTTTCCAGGGTGCGTACCAGTCCTGCGGACAGACCACCAAACCCATTCCTTCCCTGCCCCAGTGAGAGCGAGAGAAAAGGAACTTGATCCACTCCTAAGCACCACACATCTTGATGACCCTAGCTCCTCCTCTCCAGATGTCACAGAAAACAGAGCAGGTTTGATACTAAGTCACAATTAGTCCTGGAGGTGGGTGTCTTCACAGTTGAGGCATACATTTCAAAAGGCTGCCGCCCAGCCCACCATTCTTGCTTGCACACACACATGTGCGCACATACACTTTAACACGATGGGAAGGCTGTCCAGCGCTGGATGTGGCTGGCTCATGTCAAGTACTGCACCACAAGGAACATAACTGCACAGGTGAGTAGCATCCCGCCAATCATGAAGTACTTGTACTTGTCTTGGAAGGCCCGCTTCTCAATGAGCCGCATCACTGTGTTGGACAAACCCAGCATGTTGGCAATGTCAAGAATCTTTTTCTGAGTTCCCTGTGGCAGATGAGAAGAAAAGAAAAACAAAGATTACCCTGTTGGCCAAGGGTGGGTAATCGTTGCCACGAGCTGGGGTTTTACTAACAGACCCTGTCTTGGACATACCCAGAGCACTGAGAAAGCAACACCCATCAGAAGTGGATTCACTCTACCATAGCCAACTAGTGTTTGATCAAAGGGGAAAGAAGTCTTTTCCACAAATGATACTAGATCTGGCTACATATCACCTATATGTATCATACATGTACATATGTGTATTTCATATATGTGTATAAAAATGAACTTTGATTTACATTATATACAAAACCAGGGCTGGGAAGACAGTTCAGAGGCCAAGAGTGCTTGCTGCACAAACACACGGATCTCTAGAACCCCTGTAAAAAGCCGGATAAAGTTGTTCCTGTGCCCATAATCCCAGCGGACTCACTGGACTCACTGGACTTACTGGACTCACTGGACTTACTGGCCATGAACCTAGCTACAGATTCAGTAGAGACCCTGTCCCAGGGGAATAAGGCAGCGTGATAGGATCAAGTGCACACTTTCATAAGTACACCACACACCAAAAACAAAAAAACAAAGGTAAAAAATTTTAAATCAATTCAAGATGGATCACAGAATTAAACACAAAAGCTAAAACTACACCAAAACTTCTTTTAAAAAAACAAAACAGGGCTGGAGAGATGGGTCAGTGCTTGAAAGCACTAGATGCTCTTGCAGAAGACCCAGGTTCGTTCCCCAGCACCCATGTGGCAGCTAACAACCATCCTTAACTCCAGTTCCAGGGGAGATGATGCCTTCTTCTGACCTCTTTGGGCATTGCACAATATGGGCACACTTATATACATGCAAGCAAAACCCTCATCCACATAAAATAATGAAAACAAATCAGGAGTAGATCTGAAAACAATCCAGATTACCCATCAACAGAGGATGAAGAAATTATAGTATATACATGCATAATGGAACATGGTTCAGCAATAAAAAGGACACAATTACCGTATGTAACCAAACATGTCATAGCATCAATGAACCTTGATATCATCAGAGGAATAAAACAGTGGTATGAATACAGTTCCATGAAGTTGACTAACAGGCGGAACTAATTTAGGGTGCAACCAATTAGACCGTGACTGCCTGGGGAGAGAGTTTGACTGGGACAAGGCAAAGGGATCTTTTGGGGTCAAAGGTAAGTGCCTTTGTCAAGGTTCCCTAGACTATACAAATAGGACCTATATACGTCACTATATCTAAGTTATACCCCAATAAGCAATTTTAAAATTAGAATATCTTAATTTTCTCAGTTGTATTTGATAACTCCCTACTTGAGGTCAGCTGTCTTGAAAGTATACTGACATTACCTATGTTCTGTCTGCAACTTTTTAAAATGCTGATGAAAGACTACTTAGGAACAAACCAGTATTTAAGCACACGGAATAGAACTTTTTCCAGCTTTTTAAATGACTTTTTACCACCTAGGTCAATTTATGACAATTGTATTACATATGCATAAAAACAGACCTATCCCTCTACTGACCAAAGATAAACTACATACAAGTGTCTTCTGGAGATAGTTAAAATTTTGGAGGCAAAGTGGCTCAAATGGGAGCAAATAAGCTCAGAAAACTAGATAAAAACCACGTAAGAGTGATAAAGATTAACTCTACCAATCAGCTGCTCCTATCTTTTGTTATTATTGTTTGTTTTTGAGACAGAGTCTCACTGGTCTGGAACTCAGGATCTTCTTACCTCACCCTCCCCAATGCTGGGATCACACACGTGCTACCACATCCAGCCTCTCCTATCTTTTGACTATATGACTGTGCATCCTGTGTGTGTCTTGAGTTAGACCAGGTCCAAGGTCATTCTTACTTTGTGTTCTATTTTGCTCCATATTTGCTTGTTCGGCCATTTTGTAATTAGGATAAAGAGGTTCTAGGAATGCTTAACCATACTTTCAACAATCTTAATCAAACTTTTTTATTCTTTTACAAATACAACTAATTTCCACCTACAATTATTTTTAAGATAAACAGTAAAGCAGCTAAAAAGACAGATGGGGTCTGGGGCTAAGGGCCACCACCACTCCTGGGCCCAGGATTGGTGAGTTGCAGTATGGTGGTGAGCAGAACCAGCGAGTGGGTCTTCTCCAGGAAGGCCCTGCAGTACCAGAGGCACTGCTGATAAACGAGCTCAAAGTCAGAGTCATTGTCACAACAGGGATCTTCAATAATGAGTTCTTTCCATGGATCATAGCTCCCCAATAGCTCAATCTTAGCTTTACAGTTTTTACTTCTCTAGTTTTCTTACTCAAATCTCTCAGAATGCTTTAATCTATCCACAGTATATAACTGAGTGTGGCGAAGTCTTTTTTGGTAACCTATTTTTGCCTTACGGGCTATGATCATGCCATGATTTCTTAGGCAGCTGACAGTCCTTAGATCCGGGGCCCAGTTTACATGCCAGTCAGAAAACAGTACCACTGTGAATGGCCCAATTCTCTGAAACGTTTTCATTAGTTACCAGTTTTCTGAAAACTGCTTCTGTAACAGGTGACTGGTAGAATACCACACGAACACCAACTTGGGTTCATAGTCATCTTCCTGTGTAGATAGATACTCTAGAATATCTTGTATTTTTAAAAGCTACACCAAAAATCTTTTCCTCAGCTTCTTAGCCCCAATAATCCTTGATTAGTAACCTGTCCACTTTGTAGAGTGGAATCTCTAGGGATTCTACTGAGTACAGTATGTTGGTCAGTCTGTATTTACCTGAGGGTCAGAGGGGGTAAAAGCGCAAAGACAGAAATATGACAGACACCAACACAATGACCTACAGCCTCTTATACAAAGTCACCACCCACCACCAAACACAATCAACAGCCTAAAGCACCTGCCTGCCTCTCTGCACTGCTGTCTAGTTTTTAAATGTATATTCAATTTCTCATGAAGTAACAAATGTAAGTAAGGCAGGGTCAGACATAGGGCACCCAACTGTGCTCACATGAATAGGTCTAACCTTCAGCCCCCATTAAAGAGCAACCGGGAGAAGAGGCCAGGGGAAGGAGAAGGAAACAAAACACTGTGGACAGGAACGCGGAGCCCACAGTCTGCCCAGACAAGAATCAACAAACCTCATCAAGAGGGATCTTGGGCTGGGGATAGGGCTCAGTGGTAGAGTGGGTGCTTAGCAGGTCCAAGGCCTTAGGTTTGATTCTTGGTACTGAAAATAAAAATAAATAAAATGGAGATCTCAAGTCAGATTTGCTTATTATCAGAGACTAGAAAGACAGTTTTTCACAGTAGTGAAAAATGAGTCACTGCTAAAGGTCTTGCCTTAGTATAAAGTGGAGATTATTTCATCATCATAGAAGTTCATGGGTCAAACTTCTAAAATCATCTGAAAGTGACCATACATTTCAAAAAGTATCTATCTTCAACCAAAAAATCCCGTGACTTTTAGCCCAGGTCTTTTACACTCCCCTGTTCCTCTCAAGTCCCTGGCCCAGGTGGGAAGAGGGCATCAAGAGACAAGACAAGCAGGAGGGTGCAGGAGAGCACAGAGGAAAGCGAGCTAGAGATCCAAACCCTACTACCTACACGGCTTGCGGGCACACCACCTCTGCCAACACTGCAGGTGGCAGGAGCACATGGACTCCTCAGTGACACAACTTCAGCAGGAAGTTAACATTCCAACAGTAACCTCCACTCCTCCAGCTCTGCATTCGTGCCGCACGGAGGCTTATTAAAGTCTTAACTTTTCCTGAGCCTCGGAAAGGAAAGCAGTTCTCTACAGAAATGGCAGGCTAGCCAACAAGTATTTGTTCTAACTTCTGCAGTGGCTGTTCTGAAAGGGAAGCACCCTTTTGGGTCACCGGAAATGTTAGGACTGTCAGTAGGAGGCAGGTGTCACCAGACCTGCCTGATCTTCTCCCTAAAGTAGAGTAGGAGCTGTTCAGAAATATACTGGAAGCCCATGGAGCTGGCAGCTCAATGCGGTCCAATAAAAACTAAGATAAAGGTCACACTTCCAAGCAACTGTTTCTCACAGCTCAGCAGCTGGGAGTGCTTTATTCCAGGGGACCACACCCTGATAAAAGGCAGAGCCCACGCCCCAGTAGCCATCAGGCTTGATACAGGAAAAGGCTGAGCCCGAAACATTGCAACTGACATCACTCTGTGTAATGTTTCTGTAAACCACTCCCAGGGGGTTGGAGTCTTAGCAGCACCAACAGAGCAGGCTTCTAGGAATACCTGGGGCTGGAGGGAGAGGGAAGAGTCACATGGAGACCACCAGGTGCTCTCAAAGGAACCTACTTCAGACTTACAGCCTGAAGACACCACTTCTGGGATAAGTACAAAAGAGCCTGGATTATAATGCAATCCACAACTGGAATCTCAAGGGGGCAAAAAAATCACCTTAGAGGGCTGCCGTACCTTCATTCTTATATGAGCATTCTCTAAAAGCCCTTCTCAGCCTGTAATTGGTCTCCCTTATGGCAGCCTCATTTCTATGCAAGTTCAATAAAGGGGCACAGCCCTGGCTCTGAAGAGAGGCCACTGTGGTTCACTGCAAGTACTGGCAAAGTGAATGCAGCTCCTTTGGGCTTACAGTAAGTCAACTCCAACAAGGATTACAAGTTCAAGGGCTTGGGTTCACTATCACAGTATCACAAACCAGGGACACAGAAACAAAATACAGAGATAAATGCTAAACTATAAGGCCAAATGAGGCCTTCTCTCTGCTCCCCAGCAGGGACCCCCACCTTCAAGGTCAGTCTCTGGACCCTCAGTCCCTCTAGAATACTGTGCCTGTCTCCAATGAGGTCATCCATGCCGTGGTGAATGTTCTGGAGGGAGGAGTTAAACTGCAGTGATTCATCCATGGGTATGGTGGTATCAGAATCCTGTAAAAGAAATGTAGGCACTTGATTATCTTTGCTTGCTAGTTAGCTCCTGGGGCGCTGCCACATCTGACCACTCTGCCTTTTGCCCATGGTCAAGCCAGAACAGGCAGAGGGAACAATCCAAGAATCAGAGAAGCCAACGCTAAGCAAACAAGGGGGCTGGGGGCAGGTCTGCTCACACAGCAGCAGAGGAGGTGTCAGAACAGTCACTCCAAATGAGTTCTGCTAAGCGTTGATTTCTGCATCTATCCCATTTCCTTGCTGAGGAAAAATTAGCTATTCCTATAAGACCTTGCTGGTTTCTCCTAAAGGTTTCTCTGGCTCCTCTCAAAGATAGCTGTCCCAAGTATTCTTTCACGTGACTTCTTGTTCTTGGTATTAAATGTTTGCTTTTGTTCTTTAGCTATTATATCTATAGCTTATCCCTCCGATTAGACTGAGACTGAGGATCAAAGGGATGGTGCTCTCTACTGAAGTACGGTGTTCAGGATGGGACTACACTTCCGAGCAGGCAGGAAAAGGTTGCTCAAAAAAGAAAGGCAGAGGAAAAAGAAGAAAAAAGAAAGAACACAGGTTGAGTACAGGTTATCTGAAATGCTTGGGACCCAAAGTGTCTCAGATTTCAGAACTTTTTAGACTTTCAAAATATCTGCAATGGCGTTTATCCGGTAAATACCGCCTCTGGATTCTGGAATTTCAGATTAAGGTGCTCTATCAATCCTGACCCAAGCACTTTCCACTTTACAGGCTCACTGCCCTAAAATCACTGAGTTGTGCTGTGAGTTACTCCAATTTTCCCCGTTTTGCAGATGAAGAAAGTAAAGTCCAGAAAGATGGAATAACTTGTCCAGAATGACAGGATCCCAGGATTGAGTGCAAGGCCTGCTCCTGGTTTAACCACACTGTAGAGAGCAACACTACGAGCAATCCTATGGTTCTAATTTCGCAAAGGCTGTGGGGTGTGAACAGGTACAAACTGTCACTGGCTTTGAGTCTTTTTCCTGCGGTCTCCTGCCATACAGTGCTGCCTCTACTACTGAAACCCAGTTCCATTAGTAGGTTAAACTTCAGCTGCTCTATTAGCCATTACCTCCCAGAATAGGTAAAACGATCAGGAAGAAGTTTCATTTGGTAAGTCAATGTTTATTAATAGCCCACTATATTTGCAGTGCTACATGAGGCTAAGAAACAACAAAATAATCTTGAGAGATCATCTCTGGCCTAAAAAAATGCCAGAATATGACAGCATAATTATCCAAAGCCTATACAAGACCTTTTAGTACGTCTCACAGCACGCTGCACTTGTGAATTGTTAATCACTACAACCTGCCTGCCTACTCTGGTGAAATACAGACTATGCACTAAAATTCTAAGGTGCTTGGAGGAATGTACTACAGCATGTGGATGGAACAATGGGAGCTACACATCTGCAAAACAGGAACCTGTACAATTCTAATGACAGGTATACAAAGTAACAAAATACAAACTCAGACTCACTTCATTTGGTAGATCACACAAACAGGACACTGAAAATGACCAATATGTTCCAAAGTCATGTGAAAGGACTGATTTTACTGAGGCTAAAGGGCAGGGACAGGGCTTCTAAGAAATCAAACGTGCAAACCAACAAGCTATTTTCCAAAAGACTGAAGTCAAGCAATCCATCTAACACTAAACATCTGTTAACAAATTCCTCCAAATTGCTGCTCAGACCAGGGGCCAAAACATTTTAATGCATCTGCCACTGGAACCACACACATACACAGCACAATGGCAACTGCCTGGAGGCAGCTTTCAAATGCTGCTTTTTCTACAAATGGGCTAAGTTCTAATCATCTGTCTCTATCTGATCACAAAAACATCTTGACCATGCGAACTTCCACCTTTGCGGCAGACCAGTCGAACCAGATAATTTTCACTTCTGCCCCTTCCTTCAATTTAACTGCTTCCTCTTCAGGTTGATGTGTTGGAGAGAAATTCCTTGTCTAGGTATAGTCTCAGTGGCCATGTACAAAGTCCCCTGTCATTTCCAGTTGGTCTCCTCCTCATTAGTTAGTTTCTGGCACCCCCTCCCCACCCCCAAAAGGTGAAGCCTGGTGACCTGCATTCAGTCCTGACACCTGTCAGGTGCCTGCCAAACCTTGGTGTTTGGCTTACGTTAGTGGTGAAGGTACGCGACAAAAGTTCCTCTCGCTGTCTCTCCTGCTGCTCCCTGGCATAGCGCCGGTGCTGAAAGTTCCTGAGGGCCGTCTGCAGGTGCTGGACATCATACTTTAACTGGTCGACACGGCTGGAATTGATGGAGAGAGAGATTAAATTCCAGGAGCTCAGAGTGGCACAATTTGAGGCAGTCAGGCTTTGACTTCAGAAAGACCTTTCCTTACTTCTCCCCACAGTGCACATGCCATCCCCTGAAATTCATCAAAGATGTTCAAGTCAGGAAGCAGCCATGGTTAAAGTGGCTGGTAGCACACACGACTCCAGCAGTTTGCCTGGAGGCAGCTTTCAAATGCTGCTTTTTCTACAAATGGGCTAAGTTCTAATCATCTGTCTCTATCTGATCACAAAAACATCTTGGACATGCGAACTTCCACCTTTGCAGCAGACCAGTCGAACCAGATAATTTTCACTTCTACCCCTTCCTTCAATTTAACTGCTTCCTCTTCAGGTTGATGTGGTGGAGAGAAATTCCTTGTCTAGGTACAGTCTCAGTGGCAATGTACAAAGTCCCCTGTCATTTCCAGTTGGTCTCCTCCTCATTAGTTAGTTTCTGGCACCCCCTCCCCACCCCCAAAAAGGTGAAGCCTGGTGACCTGCATTCAGTCCTGACACCTGTCAGGTACCTGCCAAACCTTGGTGTCTGGCTTACGTTAGTGGTGAAGGTGCGCAACAAAAGTTCCTCTCGCTGTCTCTCCTGCTGTTCCCTGGCATAGCGCCGGTGCTGAAAGTTCCTGAGGGCCATCTGCAGGTGCTGGACATCATATTTTAACTGGTCGACGCGGCTGGAATTGATGGAGAGAGAGAATAAATTCCAGGAGCTCAGGGTGGTACAATTTGAGGCAGCCAGACTTTGACTTCAGAAAGACCTTTCCTTACTTCTCCCCACAGTGCCCATGCCACCCCTTGAAATTCATCAAAGATGTGCAAGTCAGGAAGCAGCCGTGGTTAAAGTGGCTGGTAGCACACACGACTCCAGCAGTTTCACTCAAATACCTGCTGGACTCTGATTCTGGGTGCATGTCAGAAAGAGGGAACAGGAAGCAGGTTTGATGACCCCTTCCTGACCTTTTACGGATTATACCACACTCCTAGAAGAAGCCCAAGGGCATCTTTGAGGTAACGCATCGATGAAGTTTCATGAAATTTTTGGGAGCAAAGTTGGGGTGGTGGTGGTGAGGGTGGTTTCACTTGAATTTCATGGTAGAGTATCAAACATTAGATCAGTATTTCATTATAAAGAGACTGATTGAAGTGATTAAGAACACAAGTGTATTTCAACCCAAGAAGAAGCCAGTGAGAACCAAACAGCACAACCAAACTCCTTAGCA